AAGGGGAAATAAGAACATTCTACAATGAAAAAAAAAAAAACTAAAAAAAAAATTTTTTTTGTGGGTACATAGTAGATATATATATTTATGGGGTACATGAGATTTTGACACACGAATGCAATGCAAAATAAACACATCATGAAGAACGTATTCATTCCCTCAAGCATTTATCCTTTGAGTTACAAAAAATCGAATTATATTCCAGGTTATTTTAAAATGTACAATTAAGTTATTATTGACTATGGTAGCCGTGTTGTGCTGTCAAATAGTAGGTGTCATTTATTCTTTCTATTTTTTTATTACCCATTAACTATCCCCACTTCCCGCACAACCCCCCGTTACCCTTCCCAGCCTCTGGTAACCATCTTTCTACTCTCTACGTATGCGAGTTCAATTGTTTGGATTTTCAGCTCCCATGAATAAGTGAGAGCATGAGATGTTTATCTTTTTGTGTCTGGCTTATTTCACTTAGCATAATAATCTCCAGCTCCACCCATGTTGTTGCAAATGACAGGATCTCATTTTTTTTAATGGTTGAATAATACTCCATTGTGTATATATACCACATTTTCTTTATCCATTCATCTGTTGATGGACACTTAGGTTGCTTCCAAATCTTAGCTATTGTATACAGTGCTGCAATAAATATAAGAGTGCAGATATCTCTTCAATATACTGATTTCCTTTCTTTTGGGTATATACCCAGCAGTGGGATTGTGAGATCATATGTTAGTTAGTTCAATTTTTAGTTTTTGTGGGAACGTCCAAACTGTTCTCCACAGTGGTTGTATTAATTTACATTCCCAACAACAATGTTATAATGGTTCCCTTTTCTCCACATCCTCACCAGCATTTGTTATGGCCTGTGTTTGGATATAAGCCATTTTAACTGTGATGAGATGATATCTCATTGTAGTTTTGATTTACATTTCTCTGATGCTGAGCACCTTTTCATAAACCTGTTTGACATTTGCATGTCTTCTTTTGAGAAATGTCTACTCAAATCTTTTGCCCATTTTTCAATCGATTATACTTTTTCCTATCAAGTCATTTGAGCTCTTCATATATACTGGTTATTAATCCCTTGTCAGGTGTATAGTTTGCCAATATTTTCTCTTTTTTTTTTTGAGACGGAGTCTTGCTCTTGTTACCCAGGCTGGAGTGCAATGGCGCGATCTCGGCTCACCGCAACCTCCGTTTCCCGGGTTCAGGCAATTCTCCTGCCTCAGCCTCCTCAGTAGCTGGGATTACAGGCATGCGCCACCATGCCCAGCTGATTTTTTGTATTTTTAGTAGAGACGGGGTTTCACCATGTTGACCAGGTTGGTCTCGATCTCTTGACCTCGTGATCCACCCGCCTCGGCCTCCTAAAGCGCTGGGATTACAGGCTTGAGCCACCGCGCCCGGCAATATTTTCTACCCTTCTGTGTACTCTCGCTTTACTTTGTTGATTGTATCCTTTGCTGTGCCACCTCAGCCTTCTCAGTAGCTGAAACTACAAGCATGTGCCACCATGCCCAGCTGGTTCTATATTTTTAAAAAGTCCTTCTCTCAGAAAAACATACTGAGGTATTTAAAGATGAAATGATATCATTATTTAAAATATACTAAAGTACACTGAGAATGGGAGGTGATACAGATAAAACAAGACTGGCTATATGTTGATAATTGTTGAAGCTGGAGGACAGGTACATGGGACTTCATTGTACTACTCTTTCTCCTTCTGTACATGTTTAAAGGCTTCCATAATAAAAAGTATTTTTTTAAAATTTGGATTTATTGGGAGGCCAAGGTGGGAGGATCCCTTGAGCCCAGGAGTTCAAGATCAGCCTG